GCTAGGAAAAGAAATAGTATATATATATATATATATATATATATATATAAAGAGAAAGAACAACGACTTACGGACAAGGCGAGAGTCCAATCCAACACGGTGCTCAACATCTCGGCCCATGCGCCCCTGTGCGCCTCGCTGTCTTTGAACACGTTGCTCCTCCTGCGGGACGACGATCCGTCCGCTGTTCGACTCGACACTTCCTCGGTCTCGAAATCCTCTTCCTCGCTCTTCCGCAAGAACGGATTCGTCCTGAATCCCCGTTTGCTCCGCTCGTAATCGCGCAACAGCTCGTCCATGTTGTCGAATATCTCGGGCAAATCGTCCTCCTCCCCCTGCTCCCCCTCCCCGAGAACGATCCTCGAGGAGGGAACGTTTTTCGGGGAGAGATCGTTGGACGATCCCGAGACGGTGGACCCGTTTTCCTCCGTTTTCCTCAGCTCCATCACCGACCTGCAACGCGGGTTCGCGCTCGAACCGAATCGAGCGCGCCTCTCCTCCTCGTCGTCGCGCTCGGCCTCGATCGGCTCGAGGAATCTCAGGCAAGCGTCGCTCCTCCTCCTCTCCAACCTCGAGCCGCGGAACTCGTCGTAAGTCACGCCACCTCCGTTCGTCGCCTTCAACTCGAGTAGCGAGGAATCGAAGGCGAAGGAGTCGGCCGACTCGGTCCTCCTCGAGGAGGACAACGGGCCCAGCTTGTAGTACAAGTTGTCCCGTGGATTGATGAGCCGCAGGGAAGCGGGTGTCGCCGAGTCGTATTTCCCCGTGTCTATGTAACCCTCGCTCGAGGTGCCGCCCGATCTGTCCGGGTACACGGCCGCCTTCTCCGTGACCGAGCCAAGCCTCGACAGAGGCCTCGAGTCGTCGGTTTCCGGCTCGGATTGGGGCCCAGAATCGGTCGAGTATTCGACCGCGAGATCGGACAATCTAAACGGTCTCGGATCGTCCTCGCATTCCGGCCCGAGCTCCTCCAATCCGCTCTCGTCGTCCAGGTTCGGGTTGTAGCTCTCGATGTCCTCTTGCTCCTCTTCCTCTTCCTCGTCCTCCTCCTCTTCTTCGTCCCGATCCTGGTCGATGGTCCGACTCCCTTGGAAGTGTTCCTCCGACTGGAGGAATTGGACGGGGGCAGGGGTGGGAGGGATGAGAAGGGGTCGGGTGTCGGTGATGGGCTCCTTGGCGGTGATCTCTGGAAAATCGTCCGGTTGCGCGACGAGCAGGAATATCCTCCTCTCCGAGAAACTGTCCACCTTGGTGTGCCTCCCGTCCTCGTCCAACACCACCTCCACGTAGCTCTCGCAGAGCTCCTGGAACGTGGTCCTCAATTGTCTCAGGTGTTTCGACAATTTGCGCAGGTTGGGATCTTTTTTCGATTGATTTCGGTGCTCCTCCTCCCCTCCTCCCTCGGACGGGGGAGCGTCGGGGGACGCGGTGAGAATGGTCTTGACGGTGTCCAAGGTGGCGCGCGCCTCCTCTATCTCGTGCAGGCAGAGCTCGAACAGGGTGACGATTTTAATGGTCCACGCGACACCCGCTTGACGGTAGAGGTTCGCCGGTTGGGGCAGGTTGGCCACCTTCTGGACCAGGAACTTGAGGCCGGGGCGGCAGTCGAACTTCAACGCGGTCGCGTAGGAGAGATCCAGGGCCGAGAGGAAGATGTCGACGTGGTGGTTAGTCAGGTAGGGCAGATAACCCGGCACCATTGATTTCGACGACGTCGAAGCGGCCGATTGGGGGGGTATCACGTTGGACAAGCTGAAATACGGAGGAGAGAGGGGGGGGGGATAGATAGATAGATAGAGTTTGCAGGGATTGTTCGTTTCTTCGAAGAAAGAAAGAAAGACGGATGGAGTGGTGGATCTGCTTACCTGGGGAAGGAAGAGTCGGGCCCCTGCAAGAGAACGCTGGCGATGCAATGGAGAAGCATCTGGTGGACGAGGAGGCCGACGACCAACGCTCTGAGCTGTACTCTAACGATATAAAGATCGGGATTGAGCGTGGTGCCAATCGAGGGCGGGTAGAGAAGGAAAACGTAGGATCTGTCGTCGGGTCGTCTCGAACAATTGTCTTCGCCGCGTTGTTCCTCCATGAGGAACACCTGAAGACAACAACACGTTCCTTCAAATCTCTCTCCTCTCCTCTCCTC